TTCTATCTTGTCTCATTGTCTACTGCAATTTCACCTAGTTGTATCACTCTTGTTTTGAGGGTTTGTGATTTAGCTGGGTGAAGACCTTCAGCTCTCAGCATTTGTTCTGGAGTAAATATTTCAGAAATGTATACAGGTAGTTTAGAACTGATCAGACCCTTAATTTTTTCTTATGTAGATATTTGGTTTCACCTTCTAAAACCTCAAAGATGGGTGAACCAATTTCTCCCTACACACGTGTCAATCTTATTGTGAACTAAATTGACTATTGGTCAGGTGACATAGAAGTTCTGTCTTTAGCTGATCTGTAACAAGTGAATTAATAGTATGGGAGGTCCATACTAAATACCCAGTGACACACAAAGCAGAGCTATAAACCCAAATTATATTGACATAATGGCCAAAAGCATATTGATGTGTGTGTAAGGTTTGCATAACTTACTGAGGCTAATTGCAGAAGAGAGTACCGAAATTAGTAATAATAGAGAAAAAACTAGTATCTGCTTATAACTAGTAAATGCCTTGAGACTATTTTGTGAGACAGATGCCTAAAATCTATTTTCTGATAAAGCCATTTACCCCTCTCCCAGCCCCTTCCTCCAAGTCCCATGCTTTTAGATAGGGGAAGGGAGTAAAGGAGCAACTCCTAACCGAGCCTTGGTCCCCAGGAGAACTCCTTGAGACCTCAGCTCAGGGGAATTCACTCCTTCCACCAACTAGGGAAGATGATGTGAGGGAGGAGACAGCTGCCTGGCAACTCAGCCAGTGTTGAGTTTCTCCCACTACTTACTGTTTCAGACTGGAGGTGGCAGACAAAGCTCACTATGCATGCACCTGTATGTGAATCTTTCAGTGTGGGTGTGGGCATGTCTACATGCATGTTCAGCAGGCAGCAAGCATATCATCAGCTGCATTTCAAAGTATGTCTCACTGGCTGCCTCAGCTTTGTTCCTTGGCCCTGACTATAGATGGTGAGTATCAAGGAAGGCCCACTGCACATGCTCTCTGTGTGCACGTGTGTGAGAGAAAGTGTATATATCTGTGTATGTGTATGTGTGTCTTTGGAGGGTCTGGGACTGATTCTCTACTGGACTCACTACAGGACACTCATGGGTTAGACGGGACAATGAGATTATATGGCATGAATTTATATGATATGAATTGTTTGGGTGGGATTCCACCTTGTGATACGTCAGAATAACACATTTTGGGGGATGATACAGCTCAGATTCAGGAATCATTTGAGAACAAACTCCCAATCATGCCATTTTTGGTTTTCCTGTAAAATTGCAGGTAGAGCTAGATGATCCACTTGACCACATATTTAGAAGTTGTGCTCTCTTAAGTGGAGGAACATCTCTGTCATGGCAAATGGTTTTCCTCACCTACATACCTTAGCCTGCTTCGTTTTGTGACTGACCATTGGAAAGTAACATGGGTTTAATTTGTATGTCTAGTTGCAATGGCGTATATTTCTGAGGGAGTCCTGTTTCAAGTGTAAAATAGTGCTAATTATAGACAATCCTTTCGAGTTACAGGCTAAGCACGTTGTCTAATTCAGCCTAGAATTCGAAGCAATAAATCTTTCTTCCATTCCTAGGGTTTGAGGAGTACAGTAAACGCTTACAGAATTAGAAGCCAGACTACTGAAAACTAATTTGAACTTTATTAACTGTTCCTAAGAACCTGTTGGATTAACAAGTTATTTTTACAAAGCTTTGTTATGCTTGAATTTATCTATTTTGCTTTCCATTTTTTTTTTGTTTTATATGCTTTTTTTGCTCTTCCCTTTGGAGGCAGTGAAAGTGGTCGGAGCACTCCAAGCTTATCCATGTACTCAGACAGCAAATCTTCATCATCTTTGTATCAGCAGGCACCTAGGCATTTTCATGTTCCAGGTAGGCATTTAACGCTTTAATTTTTAGTTGCTGCCATCAGTAATGTGTTACCAATGTATACATGTAAAAACCCATATCATTCTAGTAGTATTAAAAATAGTCAACAAGCTTATTTTTATATAAACGTTAGTGAAATAAGACGACGACTACCACTACCACTACCACTACCACTACCACTACTACTACTACTACTACTACTACTACTACTACTACTACTACTACTACTAATACTAATACTACTAATACTACTAATAATAATAA